TTTTCAAATCCATATATTTCAAGTTTTTAGACAAAATACTTTGACTTCCCAAGATGGATGATGTAATAACAAGCCTCCCCTGTGACTTGACCAAACACTGCAACATTTGATATGTAGATAACAAAAAATGAAGAGCTGTAACAAAAGGTTATCAACCCTGAAATCTTCACTCATGGTATTGAGATACAATAAAACCGTTCCCTCTAAATCAGTGCCTCTTGTTCGGGTCAATGATCACAGGATAAAGTGTCCAGGGTATAAAGGTTTTGTCTTTCAAATTCCTAATGATTTTGATGCCATCATACTAATGACAGTACTACAGAATCATTGTGGCATCGTTTGTTCTCCAAGCAGATTCAAAAACAGCAAAAGTGCATTTGATAACTCATCTGGTACGTTAACACATGTCAAAAATGCTTCCTTCCATTTCGCCAAGACTCCGCAGGGGTTTGAAAGGTACAACTGAATATTGCGGCCGCCACATTACGCCAAAGATAATTTACCGCCTTACCAGCGCTTCCGCATTGGCAACTTAAAATCTAAAATGATAATAAAGGTGATGTGTACCTTAAGCTTGTTCCCTCATGCTGTTGACAATGTCGGCCAAGAGGTTAGTGATACACACTTGTGGTGTTTGAAACTCGTGGAGAAAGCATACGGGTTTGTTCCCTTGTGGTTTTCATATTTTTTGGTACAAATTCTCCAGTTGCCCAAACTTTCAAGATCAATCAGAGCCAAATGCTAAACACATTAAGCAGATTGCACTAACATTGTTTGTTTTTTTGAGGAGGATAATTGTCTTATTTTCCTTTAATGTTTCATGTCAGGTGAGGAAGTTAAAGTACAAAATTATACTTTAAGAGATTCTTTGAGTGTAATCTGACAGTGAGGGGAGGGTGCTATCACAAGGATTACAATACAAAAGTTCTGTAGAGACTGACAGAGAGGGCAGGGTGCTATCACAAGGATTAAAATATAAAAGTTTTGTAGAGACTCTGACAGAGAGGGCAGGGTGTTATCACCAGGGTTACAATACAAAAGTTCTGTAGAGACTGACAGAGAGGGCAGGGTGTTATCACCAGGGTTACAATACAAACGTTCTGTAGAGACATTATCACTCCCTCTTTGATACGATGATGTGTGTGTCCTGCTTTTTGTATGACCTATCCCAGATGTTTCTTCCCACACAATTTTGTTTAGGTGTCTGATAATCCAGATGTTGTTTTTTCTTTGTTTTCGTGTCTCATTTGTCCAGTTTGTTGTTTTTTGGTAGATACAACATGTATATGTATTTCAATTATTTTGTTTTGGACCACTGTAGCTGCCTCTTTTAAAACAATTTTGCCCATAATTGCATTGTTCTTAATAAAATATGACAGGAGAGACTAATGGTTCTGCATAAATTTTATAATTGGAGGTATATTTGATTAATTTCAAAGATTCTGTACCCCGAGATACTTAGTTCCATATTGTATAAGGACAGTCTTTGAGAAATTGGGTCACAGGTACAACTAATGTTTGGGGGTTAGAAAATCACCACTTGGATAGAGGTAACGCTACTTTTTACCCTAATCAGGACAGTACCAGCAGTTTCTGATTTTCAAGTGTGCTGCTCTATTAACTGAGATAAAAAATAAAATCCTCTCTGATGCAAAGCTGCAGGCAAACATGATCATATCATGTATGTACAATTAAAATCTGCCTCACTATTTTGCCCCCTGTAATGTGGTGCAACCTGAAAGCCACTTCGACCCCGAGCTTGAATATCTCCCTGTCACTACATGGAGGGCCAGACACTGTAAACAGAATGATGTGATACTTCCCAGGGACCTAGCCCTGACTTCACAGTTTGACGTTCTACCCTTTGGTCTAAAGGGAAAGTCCATCCAGCATGAACCAAGAAGGTGACTGATGTACATCAAATATATCTCCCTGAACATGGCATTGTGACACATTATCAGGCAGAGCAAATTGTAATTACAGATTAATGGTTCAACTGTTTCCTGTTTTATCAAAACCCTTTGACGAATAGTCACGACTGCAAAACGATCAATCCAATTGTAATACCAAACATGAGCAGGTCAGACTATTTATCAGTCTCGTCTAAAAAAACAATTTCATGTTCAGGGAAGTTGACAGCTTGATTAAATTCTAAGGATTTCTCATCATTGTAAAGACTGGAAAAAAACCGAGGACAGTTTATAGTGGTGAAAGCCTTGTCCCTCCTGACAAAGCTGATCGCAGTCTGGTCCCCCTGATACAGCTGATCGCAGTCTAGTCCCACCCCACTGCGTGTGGTGAAAATCAAGTAACAGTTATTATTGAAGGAAAACTAAAAACAAGACAAACTTTCAACATTAAAGTGTGTCACCTACTCCAAGCTGCATTTAACAAAATGCCCCTAAATGTAGCCAAACAGGTCTGCTTCTATTTCTAGAGAAATTAGCGGACAAAAATATAGCATATATAGGCAGAGGGCTGTAAACTTGTCAGTTATTGGTGTAGCTTTCTGCTGTGACGTCAGACTAAAGTCCTACAGAGAATTCTACGACAAGTTAAACAATTACGTCTTGCACAAGTTATTGGGGGAAATCCAGTAGTGTTCTTAATCTCTCAGCTGCCTGTTTCCTTTACTGAGTGACACGGTGAGTGTTTGAGTTTGATGTGGTAATTATTTTGTCTTCTCAAGTGTTGGAACTCACTCTCACACTTAACAGTAGTACTATCTCCTCTAGTGTGGTACTTATTCCAGTACTGTTAATGGTAGTACACTATCTCCTCTAGTGTGGTACTTACTCGGGTACTGTTAAAGGTAGAACACTATCTCCTCTAGTGTGGTACTTACTCCGGTACTGTTAATGGTGGTACTATCTCCTCTAGTGTTGTACTTACTCCAGTACTGTTAATGGTGGTACACTATCTCCTCTAGTGTGGTACTTACTCCGGTACTGTTAATGGTGGTACTATCTCCTCTAGTGTGGTACTTACTCCAGTACTGTTAATGGTAGTACTATCTCCTCTAGTGTGGTACTAACTCTAGTACTGTTAATGGTAGAACACTATCTCCTCTAGTGAGGTACTTACTCCGGTACTGTTAATGGTAGTACACTGTCTCCTCTAGTGTGGTACTTACTCCAGTACTGTTAATGGTGGTACTATCTCCTCTAGTGTGGTACTAACTCTAGTACTGTTAATGGTAGTACACTATCTCCTCTAGTGTGGTACTTACTCGGGTACTGTTAAAGGTAGAACACTATCTCCTCTAGTGTGGTACTTACTCCGGTACTGTTAATGGTGGTACTATCTCCTCTAGGGTGGTACTTACTCCAGTACTGTTAATGGTAGTACTATCTCCTCTAGTGTGGTACTTACTCCGGTACTGTTAATGGTGGTACTATCTCCTCTAGGGTGGTACTTACTCCAGTACTGTTAATGGTAGTACTATCTCCTCTAGTGTGGTACTTACTCCGGTACTGTTAATGGTTGTACTATCTCCTCTAGTGTGGTACTAACTCTAGTACTGTTAATGGTAGTACACTATCTCCTCTAGTGTGGTACTTACTCCGGTACTGTTAATGGTAGTACACTGTCTCCTCTAGTGTGGTACTTACTCCAGTCCTGTTAATGGTAGTACACTATCTCCTCTAGTGTGGTACTTACTCCGGTACTGTTGATGGTAGTACACTATCTCCTCTAGTGTGGTACTAACTCCAGTACTGTTAAAGGTAGTACACTATCTCCTCCAGTGTGGTACTTACTCCAGTACTGTTAATGGTGGTACACTATCTCCTCCAGTGTGGTACTTACTCCAGTACTGTTAATGGTGGTACACTATCTCCTCCAGTGTGGTACTTACTCCAGTACTGTTAATGGTGGTACACTATCTCCTCCAGTGTGGTACTTACTCCAGTACTGTTAATGGTGGTACTATCTCCTCTAGTGTGGTACTTACTCTGGTACTGTTAATGGTAGTACTATCTCCTCTAGGAGGGTACTTACTCCAGTACTGTTAATGGTAGTACACTATCTCCTCCAGTGTGGTACTTACTCCAGTACTGTTAATGGTAGTACACTATATCTCCTCTAGTGTGGTACTTACTCCAGTACTGTTAATGGTAGTACTATCTCCTCTAGTGTGGTACTAATTCCAGTACTGTTAATGGTGGTACTATCTCCTCTAGTGTGGTACTAACTCCAGTACTGTTAAAGGTAGTACACTATCTCCTCTAGTGTGGTACTTACTCCAGTACTGTTAAAGGTAGTACTATCTCCTCTAGTGTGGTTTTTACTCCGGTACTGTTAATGGTAGTACTATCTCCTCTAGTGTGGTACTTACTCCGGGACTGTTAACAGTAATACTATCTCCTTTAGTTTAGTACTTACTCTGGCACTTGTAACGGTATAAATCATTCCTCCAGTATATAAATATAATTCAGACCCAAAGTGTTTTGTACTCAATTCGGCACTGTTCACATAACATGACTACCTAAATGATGTGAGGCTAACCACAACACAAAAAGTAAAAGATTGGACAAAAATTATACATGATTGAAGAAGTATGCAAAAGTATATAAGAAGAACACAGTAAATGATATCACCCACCAAGAAAATTTGAAAAGAGCAAGAGTCTAACAATGTTCTACTATTTCACCAAAAACAAAAGGAAATGCAGGTGAAGTGGTATGTCAAATAAAAATGTCCTACCAAACTAGCCAGGAATTACAAAACAAAACAATTATCTGTCACACAAATTATTTTTTAAACATTTGTTTCAATCCATGAAAAAGGTAAATATTTGATTGTAAAAACATCATTGACTTAATCAACAGAAGCAACAGATATTAATTAGGACAATATCAAATGGAAAGGAACTAAGAAATAAAAGGATATTACCAAGCTGAAATAAAACAGTCTACGAAAATCAATAGAGTGAAGAAATGTATAAAACCTAAGAAGTGACCATCACTGAAGCCATAGAGAAAAGACACATGCTATGTTACCTCTTTTTCCTCTTAGGCTTATGTGAACTTCTTTGCTTTTTTCTTTGAGAACTGAAACAAGGAATCGTAGGCAGCATTGAATACCAGTATAACAAGGAAACAAAGACAAATAAATTAGTAACAGGAAAATAATCCTGAGTCTCCGGCAGTATGCCATGTTAGTAACAAAATAACACAAATAAATTAGTTAGTAAAAGGAAAATAATCCCGAGTCTCCGGCAGTATACGATGTCAGTTACAAAGTAACACAAATAAATAAAATAGTAAACAGGAAAATAATCCCGAGTCTCCGGCAGTATAAGATGATAGTAACAAATCAACACAAATAAATTAATTAGTAAACAGGAAAATAATCCTGAGTCTCTGGCAGTATAAGATGATAGTAACTAATCAACACAAATAAATTAATTAGTAAACAGGAAAATAATCCTGAGTCTCCGGCAGTAAACAATGTCACTAACATGGTAACACCAGTGCATTAAATAAGTAAACATGTAAATGATCCTGATTCTCCAGCATTAAACAATGTTAGTAACAATAATGTTACACAAATAAATTAAATGGTAAATGTGTAAATAAAAAGTCCTGATTGCTCGGTAGTATCTATGTCAGTAACAATGTAACACAGATTCGTAAAACGTCCTGATTCTCCGGCAGACTATACATGTTAGGAATAAAGTAAACACAAGTGGGTTAATGAGTTAACATATTTATAATCCTGATTTTTCAGCAGTATACAAGTATCTCCTAATGTTTTAACATGAACAATCGTGAACAAGTTCTTTTTGCTGCTTTACGGTAACAAATATTTCGTTGATTGAATGACACTGGCAGTCATGAAAAGAAGAGGATTTACTTATATTTAATAATCATGGTTCCAGAAAATTGTGAAATGGAATACACAATGTTTCATGTTATACAGAACACAAAACTGATGAAATGTTCATTATGAGATGCCATTCACATTTCCAGTATCACTTGGTTGGTGTCCAGATCCTTCCAGGGGTGCACATGCTGCCTTCATCAGGACAGAACACTGATTTGATAGGAGCAGAGGAATGTTATTTAGAGTATTGTTAAAGACAGGTCATCAGGTGATAAGTCTGTCATGGATATTCTTATAAATCTTGCACCCTTTATACAAACTATTTAATTAATGTCAAATTGTGTTGGAACAACAGTAACTATTTATGCTATATTTAGGATGAGTTTCAAATGCTATCAGTTGGGACTGATATCAAAATTAATTCTTAAGGGATTATTTTTGCTGTTTGTTTGATGTCCCCAAGATTTTCAGGGTGTTTTTTTGTCCCTGAAGACACAATGTATTTGCTACTTTGTTAATTCATGGACAAGTTTGCATATATGGTGCTGTTTGATTTCACTATGTAACATCTAGTTTATTTTTTCCTATTTGCCATCACCGAAAATCCTTGCACCGGTTACTGTCAAGCCTCAGTACCCTACTTTTATTCTTTGTGACAAGTTTGAAAGGTCAAAATGGAGACTAGGGACAAACACTTTGTTGCAAGAATAAAGTTCGCTTCCATACAATGATTTACATATCAATGTGATATAAAACCTATTAGTGCTCTCTTGAATTAAAATAAGTTCACCTTATTTAACTTATATAATGGCAAAATAAACATTGGAGTGAAGTTTCAGTTTGTTTTGATTGGAAGCATAATACAGCTACTGTATTTATATAAACATGTGACTACAATACTTGAGTAAGGATCTTGGAGTAGGTAAATCAAGCTTCTATAAAGAGTGATGATTGGCTATCACGTTAACCTTTATTCTTGATTATCATAAAGTTTTAAAAAGATACCAGGTTTTACAAAGTGTTTTTTATGTTTAACAGTAAGATAAACATGATAACTGATCAACACAAGCTCAGGTAGCTTTTCTTTATTTACCATGATGTGTTAATCTACAGGTTATAAACCTTGCCTGTCTATTCAATGCCTTGGGAGATCAAACCTATTATAGTTGAAGGAAAAAACAAGTCAAATGGCAGGTGAGTAGGCTACCAACATCAATGTATAACATGTAAGTCACATACATATACAGTGGAGTTACATGTACACCTGTGTAGGTGGCACTCCAACAATGTACACATTATATCTCCATCACTCTACAAGCTCACTGAAATAAAGGTAATGAGTATACAAAATGTTTATGAAATATTGTGCAAGACCTCAGTTGATTGAACTGCTTGCATTGATACATTTAGCGTGAGGATTAAGCAAGAAAAATGTTCCTTATTTGGAAGAAATTTTGAATGAGCAATTTTGAATAGCAAGTCTTTCCATTATTGATACTGAAATTGAGTTATGCCCCAAAATTTGTATCGAAGATGAAAGTATGATAAAGAAGTTTAAACCTTCACGACTAAACAAATGTATCTCTTTCTTAATAACGGTTCAAAATATTCAACTACAGGGTACAACGTTCGTATATCAGAGGTTCAATACAATCATGGCCTAATGTTAAATATACTGAAAATGAAAGTAGGAGTTACACTGAAAATGAAAGTAGAAATGTTATGGGGTACACGTGTGTGTATGTACAGGCTTACCTGTGGGCAGTCCTAGACATCAGGCCAATGTTAGTTTGAGGGATAGAAAATCTCATGCAATTATTTACATGTGTTATCAAACCAGTACCAAAAACTTTGTCTTCAATTACACAACAAGAGGCCCATGGGCCTTAATGGTCACCTGACATCCGATTCAAATTAGGACTGTCATCCAGGGGCCAATTCCTACTTTTCGTCGGTCCGAGTTACCTTGCTGCATCGTCCATTAATTTTTTCTTGTGAACACAATAACTTCAGTAAATATGAACCGATTTTGATGAAACTTTGTATGCAGCTTTGTATCAATGAGATCTTGGATGAGTTTCAATACCGGACCAATTTGAGCATAACTTACATAGTTATTCCCCTTGGTAATTCTATTATTGTTGGACCCTGTGAACACGATAACTGAAATAAATGGGTGTGACTCCAATTTTGACCCAAGGGGTCTGTTTTGAACAAACATGGTAACTGTATGTGTTCTGTTCTTGGTTAAAAGAAACAAGTAAAAGCACAAATCAATGATTTATTAAATAAGGCACAAAATTTTAATAGCACCTGTTAGTAGCAAAAGTGCGTTATGAATGAAAAAAAAGGTGTACCACATGAATTTACATCTATTCTTGTGTAATGTCAATCAACATCACAGAGACAAATAATTATATAATGACAAAGGGCATTAACTCTGCAGGTTACCGTCAAATAATTACCGGACAAAGTTTCATTGAACTCCGTCAACATTTATTCAAGTTATCATGTTTACAAGGTCCAATAATAATATTATTACAACAGGCAATAACTCTGTAAGGGACTGTCGAATAATTCCCATTTTCCAACTCATCCGAGATCTTATTAATATATAAGGCCGCATACAATGTTTCATCAAACTTGGTTGATAATTACCCAAGTTCTCATGTTCACAAGGTCCAATAATAATATTATTACGAAGGGCAATAACTCTGCAAGTTACTGTCGAATAATTCCCATTTTGAATCTTGTCCGAGATCTTTTTTTGATATATGGCTGCATACAAAGTTTCATTAAACTCGGTTAACATTTACTCAAGTTATCGTGTTCACAAGGAAAAGTTAACGCATGACGCACGACGACGGATAAAAGACTATCACAATAGGTTACCATGACCTATGGTCAGGTAACCTAAAAAGTAAAAGTAAATATTTCCGTACAATATTCATTTTATTTAGTACAAAAAATTAAAGACAATTTTTTAATTCATTTTCTCAATTGCTAAAAAAACAAAACAAATGAAGCACATTACAGGCTTCTTTCTTCAAGTCAAAAAGGAGACTGATATTAACTTTACAACATAGCCACCATTATCCTTTGTCAAATCTTCACATTAGCATGAAATCTACAGCCATCTAATTAGACAGAGTTCAAACTTCAATTCAATAGAAGTCAACAATAGTGGATATCATGTTAATTCCAGCCCTCATCTTCACCACTTCCAAATTCATTGCCACAAAATGAGTTGTAGAAATCTCCTTCAGCAGACACTAATCAACTTGTCCCGCATATTCATTAAGATGAGCCACACTCTGGCCACAACCTCCTATCACCTTGTTCTCTCCCCCGCACCACGATAAAACAACATATCACAAATGCTATCAAGTAACGCTTGCCCCGGAGGCGTACTAAAGCAAATGCCCTATGTATTTTTTGGCTGGATATTTTCCAGATGACATTAGCTTCAAGTGCACACAAACATTATCATTCCACACAGACAGACTTTTTGCTGAATTTACTGCAACTTACGAGCATGATGTGTTTTTGTGACATTTAACAAGTACTCACCTAGTGTGCCATAGACTTACAATTCAGCTGTTTAGCAAGTAAAATGTACTTAACATGTCAGCCGTAGTCTTATTATCATACTCACCAAGTCTACCAGTCTATCAGCTCAGCAGCAAGACCTCAACAAGTAAACCAGTCTTAAAATAATACTCACCAAGTGACGCTATTTTACAAGTACTCAAAAAGTGTGGCAGTCTTTCTAGCTATCTAACAAGTCCTCAACAAGTGTGGCGGTCTTTCTAGCTATTTTACAAGAACTTAACAAGTGTGGCAGTCTTTCTAGCTATCTAACAAGTACTCAACAAGTGCGGCGGTCTTTCTAGCTATCTAACAAGTACTCAACAAGTGTGGCAGTCGTTCTAGCTATTTTACAAGTACTCAACAAGTGTAGCTATCTTTCTAGCTATTTTACAAGTACTCAACAAGGGTAGCTGTCTTTCTAGCTATTTTACAAGTACTCAACAGGTGTGGCAGTCTTTCTAGCTATCTAACAAGTACTCAACAAGTGCGGCGGTCTTTCTAGCTATCTAACAAGTACTCAACAAGTGTGGCAGTCGTTCTAGCTATTTTACAAGTACTCAACAAGTGTGGCATCTTTCTAGCTATTTTACAAGTACTCAACAAGTGTAGCTATCTTTCTAGCTATTTTACAAGT